TCACTTCCACGGATCGCGAGGCAACCCTCTTCCCTCCTCTTCTCTCTAGTACTAGGAAAAGGCCTCTCTACCTATCTACCCTCACACCACCCTTCCTCCCTACCCTCACACCTTCACACCAACCACCATGTGCAGAAAGGTCACCTGTACCAAGTGCAACAAGCCCTCCTGGGCCGGCTGCGGCATGCACGTCGAGTCAGTGCTGGGCGACGTGCCGAGAGAGCTGCGATGCAAGTGCAAATGAGCAGACTAGCAGAGCGCGGCGTCAGAGCTTGAAGGCGGAAGCGACTGGGACCGAGGCTCGGATAGAACAGATAGACAAGACAAAGTAATACAACGATTATAGGAAACGATAAGAACCCACTAGGGATGAATAAAACCACACAATAATGATGAATTGAGAATGCTGTCTTTACCTACTCCACATCTACCTGATCCTCGCTTCACTAGGGATGAATAAAGCACAAGGATGATTTGCGCGGGAAGCAAGCGCTCACGGGGACATGTCAACAAGGTGTGGAGTGCGAGAGAGGGGGCAAGATGGCTTGAGAAGCTTCAGAGGCAGAGCAAGTGAAGCTTGGTTGTCTCTGTATTTCAATTTGAGAAGATAGAACAATGTTGAAACAAATAAGCTTGTTGAGATATGGATGCTGACGCTGCCCTAGAAATTTAGTTTAGAACTGAGAAACAAGAAGGGAGTTACGCCCATTCAAAGGCTGGATTGACGACACGAGGAGTTCTATGGATCAGGCAGATGTGGAGTAGGTAAAGACAGCATTCTCAATTCATCATTATTGTGTGGTTTTATTCATCCCTAGTGGGTTCTTATCGTTTCCTATAATCGTTGTATTACTTTGTCTTGTCTATCTGTTCTATCCGAGCCTCGGTCCCAGTCGCTTCCGCCTTCAAGCTCTGACGCCGCGCTCTGCTAGTCTGCTCATTTGCACTTGCATCGCAGCTCTCTCGGCACGTCGCCCAGCACTGACTCGACGTGCATGCCGCAGCCGGCCCAGGAGGGCTTGTTGCACTTGGTACAGGTGACCTTTCTGCACATGGTGGTTGGTGTGAGGGTAGGTAGGAAGGTTGGTGTGAGGGTAGGTAGGTAGAGGGGCGCTTGGTAGCTCTAGAGAGAAGAGGAGGGAAGAGGGTTGCTGGTGAGATGCGGAGCGGGAAAGGGGAGGAGGGATATATAGCCGGGGGAGGGATGACTGGTCGCTGACCGTCCTCGAGGTCACGATGCGTCACGGGGGAATAAAATGTCTTCTGGTACTATTTGACTGTACCAGCTGGCAGGGGCATGCTGGTACATCTCGACCCATGTGTACGGCATTTTGGTACAGCGCTATCCCCATACAGAAGCTCCTCATGGTACAAATGTACGCTATAAATAGCACCCATGTAGCCCTCAACCGCAATTTATAACTCCCCTGACTGGCGATGACCTTCTAGACCAGCGGTAGTAAAAAACCGTCCCCTTCTCCCTGACCTTCCCCTTCCCTCGTCTATATATCCCTCCTCCTCGACCGGTTCTCCTTCACTTCCACATCTCACCAGCAACCCTCTTCCCTCCTCTTCTCTCTAGAGCTACCAAGCGCCCCTCTACCTACCTACCCTCACACCAACCTTCCTACCTACCCTCACACCTTCACACCAACCACCATGTGCAGAAAGGTCACCTGTACCAAGTGCAACAAGCCCTCCTGGGCCGGCTGCGGCATGCACGTCGAGTCAGTGCTGGGCGACGTGCCGAGAGAGCTGCGATGCAAGTGCAAATGAGCAGACTAGCAGAGCGCGGCGTCAGAGCTTGAAGGCGGAAGCGACTGGGACGAGAACAGATAGACAAGACAAAGTAATACCGTTGAACGATTATAGGAAACGATAAGAACCCACTAGGGATGAATAAAGCACAAGGATGACTGACGCGGCAAGCGAGCCTGGCATGCCATCATGTACGAAGATCTCTAGTGTCCCAACTCCCTAGCTCCTCCCCCCCCCACCCCCTGGCTTCCCCGGCACTGCCAGACCCGCCGGGACACTGTGTGTTTCACAGTGTACTGAGGAAGCAATCAATCCAGTCCACTCAGTACTGTAGTGCTTTGTATTTTCAGGGGCAGTGAAACTCGCCAAGATCCGATCCGATCGGGTTGCGACTAGCCTCCTCATCTCCGATGATCCGACCGGGACTCGGAGCCTGAGACAGGCTCACAGAGTCAGTCCGCCGGGCGTCCGGCCCGGCGGCCCGACACCGGGTCCGACGGCCGGTCCGATCAGTTCTGACTTCGTTCATTGACCCTCTCAGTGAACCGTTCGGAACGGTTCATCGGATACTCGGAGGCTCAGTGACTACCGTCACGGAGCCTCGGAGGGTGGGTACGGTAAAGAAGCCTTTAAGATGAGAGTCTTTTTGACTGAAGTACAGCACAGAAATGCCACACAGTAGTGACTCAGTGGCAACTTGTGAGTCACCGTGCCTGAGGCCCCCGGGCCCACAAGTTGGTTCCGATCGGTCGGTTTAGTGAACTTCGGCGGAGTCAAAGTCACCGACGGTCGGACCGTACACTGAGTGGTGGCAGTCACCCGGCCCCGGGCCGGGCGTCGGGCCGCGGCAAACAACTTAGTGACTTGCCAACGCCGGTCAACTCAGTTGGGTGTCAACTTGAGTGACTTCACTGGACTCGAGTTCGGAACGACTGCAAGGAGCGGGGATGAGGTCACCGATCATCACAGAGATTGTGAGACCCCACCCCTCCTCTCTACCACATTTACCACCCTACCCTCGTATGTCTTACACCCTACCCATCCCTATCAAGCCCTACTCCAACAGATTTCTGATCAACCACCATCGGTGGTAAAGGTAAGTCGAATGCACACCCGTAGTATTATCTACCCTCACCATATTATTTATGGTGTTTGGTACCCACCTTTTCATATACTTGTCTTCCTCGGATGATCACCCCTACCCCCTTTTCCCTACAGTGTTGAAGTTTTTGCTTCCACTACCCCTCCGTACCCACAATCACCATCGACCAGAGTAACCTCCACCCCACCCCTTGAATGTAAGGTTGTGCCTGGGGTGTAGAATGTAGCAGGTAAATGGGGGTTATTGCATGGCATTTGGTGGGTGGTAAGGGGGGTGGGATGGGGGATCAAGGAGGAGTTCAAAAGCAGGACACGGAGGGTGGGAGCGTGGGGATGCGACAGTGCGAGAGGGGAGGGGAGGGGAGGGGAGGAGAGGATAGTAGAGGAGAGGAGAGGACAGGGCAGGGCAGGGCAGGACAGGGCAGGACAGGACAGGGCAGGGCAGGAGAGGACAGGAGAGTAGAGGACAGGATAGTATAGGAGGGCAGGACAGTCGCAGAAGTATGAGTAAATGGAGCACAGGTCATATGAGAGGAACCTGTTGAAACTTTCGGATGCTGATGAGATAATAGAAGAGATTCAATGCATAAACAAAATGGATCCAGGCCTGTCTCCCCCTATTTTGGCAATACCTGATTGGGGAAGTGCTCAAGATGAGTTAATCGAAGATTTCGTGGATTGAACAGTTTCCAATGTATCAAGTGTATGCTCAAAACGAAAGAAGAAACAAGTATGTTGTATCCCTGAATGATCTCGTGGAACATAGCTGTTGAGAGCAACGAGGCTAGATGCTGACAGGAAACCAGAGTATCCAAATTAGAAATTGCTGCTCCAACTTTCGTGGTCATTCCAGACTTAATCCTGACGCTACTTGTTTCAGTTTCTTCGAAGAATCCCAACATGTGTATGAGAGTAACCTGCACGAAATGCAACAAGCCCTCCTGGGTCGGTTGCGGTCAGTGCAAGGTACAGGATACATTGACCCGCTGACGATTTTCGGCAGGAATGCACGTCGAACAGGTGTTGGGGGATGTTCCCAAGGATCAGAGGTGCAAGTGTAAATAGTCGATCACTCTTCTGTCGACGAGCATGTTTTGGTTGTAATTTACACGTCTTTGGATGATCTCTGAGTAAAGGGTTGAACGAGAGCACCTCCCAGTGTGCGCATGTCTTGGTTACCCGGGATCGTCGGCTTGAGTAGATAACAAGCTCCAACTTACACTCGAATGATGATGTATAGAGGATCTAATGAACAACATGAACATGCTGAACTCTATTAGATACATTTCGATATACACGTCGATCGTGGTGTTGTTGCAAAACTTCAACTCCTCAACAGGTGAAGGAGGTCGATTGCTGTGCTCTTGATCAGACTGCTGACTTGCCTCTGCGTGGCTGCATCGACATCAGCCTTGGCCCTGTCCCCCTTCTTCGTCTTCCTGCCACCTTTCGTCCTGTTCTTCTTGTCACTGTGCCCGTTGACACTGCCAAGGAGCGGGTGGTACTTGATGGGTGCCTCCTCCACTGAACATCCCTCCCCGCTCTGAAGATTCTGTTCTGCACCATCGTCGACTATCTCCTCCAACTCCAGCAGGTCACTCTCTTTGGCAGACCTCTTGGCCTTTGCCGGTAGGATGAGATCCAGGATGGAGTTTGACAAGGGCTTAACTAGCGGCTTCGGGGTAAGGTTGTTCTTCTCGTTGTACGCCAGCTGAAGCCTCCTCCTCCTCTCTGTCTCTGCGATGGCTCGAGCCATCGAGTTGGTGACTGTCTCGCAGTAGAGGATGACAGTCCCGTTCACGTTCCTCGACGCTCTGCCGATGGTCTGGATGAGGCTGCGGTCGCTGCGGAGGAAACCCTCCTTGTCTGCGTCCAAGATGGCAACGAGCGAGACCTCGGGGATATCGAGGCCCTCGCGCAGGAGGTTGACGCCTACAAGCACGTCGATCTTGCCAGCGCGCAGGGCGTGAACGATCTTGAGCCTCTCCATTGACTTCACCTCTGAGTGCAGCCATGCTGCCTTGAGGTCATGGTCCCTGAGGAAGCTCGAGACCTCCTCCGCCGTCCTCTTGGTCAAGGTTGTGATCAGTACCCTCTCCCTCCTCGATATTCTCTGCAGGATCTCCTTGAGGAGATCGTCCACCTGCCCTACCGCGCTCCTCGTGTGAACGATCGGGTCAAGGATGCCCGTGGGCCTGATGATCAGCTCCGTCACCTCCTCCATGCTTGCATCGCCGCTCCTGCACAACGAACTCTGGGGGTATCAGAGTCAGACGCGGTGCTGTAGAGTTTCAGCTGGGCACCTGCTGAAGCTCCCACTGCCCAGGGGTGGCGGAGACGAAGATGCACTGGTGGACTCTGGACCAGAACTCTTCCTCCTGCAGCGGGCGGTTGTCGAGCGCGGAAGGGAGGCGGAAGCCATGGCGAACAAGCGTCTCCTTCCTCATCCTGTCTCCGAAGTACATGCCTCGAACTTGAGGGACCGTGATGTGAGACTCGTCGACGATGAGCAGCCAGTCCTTGCAGAAGGGGGTGAGGGGAGCACGGCGAGGGAGGGATTCACCTCATGGGGGAAGTAGTCGACAAGGCAGTCCGGAGGCTCTCCGGCCTTCCGACCGGACAAATGCCGGGCGTAGTTCTCGATGGAGCGACAGTATCCTACCGCCTCGATCTGCATCAGGTCTGACTCTGTCCTCTGAGTCAGCCGCTCTGCCTCCAGGAAGGAGCCTTTCTCCTACAACCCACGTCAGGCAACACAGGAGAAGCAGACCCGGCTGTTACCTCCAACTCCGCCACCCTATCGTAGAGCTCAGTCCTGATCTCATGCAGAATCCTCTGCTTGTCTTCCGACGACGTGACGAAGTGGCTGGCCGGGTAGATCACGATCTCGCTGATGTTCCTATTCGACTCTTTGGCCTCGTTTGCCTCCTCCTTTGCTCCCTTCATCAGGACTTGAGCTGGGGAGGAGCTGGCTTCGGAGGTGGAAGCAGGAGAATGACTCTCTTCTTCCTGTATGCGACTCACGTAAAACCCGTCAGCCGCCGAGAGGTTCTGCGCGACGGCCGAGCGCCGAAAGAAAACTCTCAAGATGCTGTCGGTGTGGGAGGGCCCGATCAACAAGCAACCTTGTTCCTCATCCGACAGTGCACCTCCTCCCTCCTTGTCTCCACGAGCCTTCGCTCCGTCGCTGAGCACGTAGATCTGTCCTCTGCTGATCGCAGGGCTGAGCTCGTTCGACACGTAGTGGAGGAGGCGAAGTTTGGAGGCCAAGGCGAGGGGGGAGCACTGGGCCCCCACGTGGAGGAGGAGGGAGTTTCTGAGGTACTCCGACGGCATTCCTAACCCGTAGATGCAGCTGACGCTAGCGACGACAACTGTGTCTCGTCGCTCGAAGAGGGAGCGAGTGGCCGAGTGCCGCAAGCGGTCGATGTCGTCGTTGACAACTGAGACCTTGTCCACGAACACGTCGGAGACGGCGAGGTAAGCTTCGGGCCTGTAGTAGTCGTAGTAGGACACGAAGTACTCCACCGCATTGTTGGGGAACAGCTCCTTCAGCTCGTTGCACAGCTGGGCTGCGAGCATCTTGTTGGGGGCGAGGATGAGCGTCGGTTTCTGATGCTGGACGATCACGTTGGCCATTACGAAAGTTTTGCCCGTGCCTGTGGCTCCCAGGAGGGTCTGAAAGCGGAGGCTCTGCCGCAGGCCCGTCACAAGCTGCTCGATTGCCTTGGGCTGGTCGCCGCACGGGGAGAAAGGGGAGAAGAGGATGAAACGGTCGTCTCCTCTCGGTCTCCTGTCGTGCCCGGGGAAAGAGAACCCCATCTGCCTCCTCTGCTTCCCCTCGGACGCCAGGACTCCCTCCTGCTCCTTGAGCAGGTCAAGCTTCCCTTCCCCCAACTTCTCCAGCTCGTCCCACGTCAGCACGCGTCCTCCTGCGCTCCTCACCTTAGCGACAGCAGCAGAGTCAGCGGCAGCTCGAGTGAGCACGAGGAGGAGCTGGAAGCTGGTGTCTGCGAGGGGACGGCCGGTGAACCCAACCTGCTGCTGGAGTTGTGGTGGGATGTCGAGGAAGAATCGGGACCGCTGGGAGACAAACTCCTTCTTGACATCGATGTTGCCGAACCTCCCCCTGGTCCTCCTCCTCCAGCTGAAGTAGAGGTGGTCCCTGGCTCGGGTGCAGGCCACGTAGACTAGCCTCCTCTCCTCTGCTATCTCGATGTCGTCGGTGAGAGATCGCTGGTGGGGAAACGTCCCCTCCTCCATCCCCACACAGAACACCACCTTAAACTCTAGGCCCTTGCTCGCGTGCACGGTGAGCAGAGAGACCTGCTGCTGGAGCTCCTGCGACTGACCTCCTCCCTCTGCCACATCCTGCTGCTGCTGCTGCTGCTGCTGCTCCTGATTGTCCAAGAAGACGTCCTCGAGGAAGCGGGAGGTGGACGAGAGGCCTCTGTCAGGGTAGTGGAGAGCTGCTAGGAGGAGCTCCTTGAGGTTGGAGACCCTGCTCTCTCCGTCTGGTTCCTTGCGGTAGAACTCCTCCAGCCCGAGCTCCTGTACCACCACCTGGACCATCTCTGCTGGGGTGCAGACGGAGACTTTGTCTGAGAACAGTCTCAGGGACCTGCTGAGATTGAGCAGGGAGTTCCGTTGCCTGGATGGGATTCCAATCTCCTCCTTCTCCTCCTTCTTCTCCTCCTCCTCCTCCAGAGACAGGATGAGTTGGGTTACCGACTGATTGCGCAGAGCAGCGAGGGCAACCAGCTTTTGGCGAGTCACTTCCCCTACCCCTCGGGTCGGCACGTTGAGGATGCGGAGGAGGCTCGCCGAGTCAAGGTCGTTGCAGAGGACGCGGAGGTACGAGAGGACGTCTCTGATCTCCCTCCTCTCGTAGAACCTCGTCGACCCGAGCACGCGATAGGGGATGCGATGTCTGCGCAGACAGTCCTCGAAGGCTCTGCATTGCTGGTTGGTGCGGAAGAGCACGCCGACGTCGCTGAAGGCCCCGATGCTCCCCCTCTCTTTCATCCTCATCACCTCCAATGTCACGAACTCCGACTCGTCCCTGTCATCGTATGCGCTGTAAACCTTGGCCTTCTCCCCTCCCTCGCGCATGGACCGAGTCGTCTTGTTGTGCCTGTTCCCCTGCCCCTGCTCGATCAGCGACTGAGCGATGGAAGTGATAGTCATCGTGCTCCGGAAGTTCTTTTCAAGCGTGCAGACTCGACATCTCTTCATCTCCCCGATGAAGCGCGCGAAGATGTCTGTCTGCGCTCCTCGCCAACCGTAGATGCACTGATCCTCGTCGCCGACCACGAACAACGTCCTCGTTTTCCTCCCTTCCTCGCTCCCCTCCTCGTCCTTCTCTCCCTCCTTCTCCCCCCCCTGTCCTTCCGCGTTCCCCTTGAACAGCAGTTTGATCAGGTCGTACTGCAGCAAGCTGATGTCCTGAAGCTCGTCCACCATCAAGTTCCTCCACTGCCGTCGGAACTCCCGCAGGACGTGAGGCAGCAGCAGCAGTCGCATCCCTTCCCGCAGCAGCATGTCGAAATCCAGCGCGTTCGCCCGCCTCATCGCTCGCTCGTACGCCCTCCTGATCTTGCTCAGCGCGATCCCGTTCCACTCCTTCCCGCCCAACTCCCCAGCTGACCCGTTGCCGTAAAGGGTCTCGGCGCTCAGAAGATTTCCCAGCTCGACGATGGCGCGTTTGTCGTACCTCTCGTGCCCCATCCCCAGCAGGGCGTCGGACAGCACGGTGTACTTCTCCTCGTTGCCGTAGATAGAGAAGCTGGGGGCGATTCCCAGCTCCTCTCCCCTCCTCCTGAGCAGGTTGGCGCAAAGTGAGTGGAAGGTCCCTGCAAAGAATCCACGGCGTCCCCAACCCCCTTGCCAGCTCCAGCCCAGCTGCTGGAGCCTTTCCTTCAGCTCGTTTGCGGCCTTGTTGGTGAAGGTGAGGGCGAGGAAGGAGTCTTGCGGCTGCTCGCGCTCAGTCCGCAGAAACTCCATCCTCCTCGTCAGCACAGTTGTCTTCCCCGAGCCCGGCCCAGCGATCACGACAGTCACGTGCTCTCTTGTCTCTCCCTCCTCCTCCTCCTGCTCGATCGCCTCCAGCTGCTCGTGGCTGAGCCCGTGTGCCCAATGCTCGCTATGAGCTTGCTCGTCTTGTGCTGGGGAGACGGAGCCAGTCTGTTGTAGGAGAGCAGCGTCGGAAGGTGGAGGAGGGGCTTGAGAAGGAACAGGAGCAGGAGAGGGAGGAGGAGGCGGAAAAGACGCGCTGTTCCACCACTCAGCCATCTCGAAGGCGATGTCGACTTCCTAGAAGGAACTGAGACGTGGAGGAGCAAGGAAGACAAGTGTGAGACAACGAGGAAGGGATGTGGTTGAGAGGAGGATTCTGAGAGGAGGAGAGGGGAGGTTGAGTGGAGGGGGAGGAGGAGGACAGGAAGGATGGGAGAAGGAGGACGGAGGAGGAAGAGGAGGGTGCAGGACTAACCGCGACATCGAGAGACATCTTCCTATCTGACACGATGACGATGGGAGAAGCTGCAAGGATGTCAGACTTCAGGCGGGAGAGGTCAGTGAGGTACCTTGAGAGGAGATCCTAGAGGCAAACATATGAAGGTTCGACCTCCTGATATGAGGGGGCGCGTCCGCCTGGGGAGGAAGGTGAGGAGGAGGAAGAGGAGGAGGAACCGTTGATCACTGTGCTTTCTTCTGTTGCTCTGCCTGAGACGATCTTGGCGGCGAGGAGTTGCAGAGCATCGTGTTGGTTGTTGGTGTTTGTTTCTGTTGGCGTGCCAGGTTCTTCAGAAGGAGGAGGAGGACTTGTGTGCGAGGGATTATCGATCTTGCTGCTCTCTGCTGTGTTCTGTGCCCAGCGTCATTGTCGAGAATTGATTAAGTGTTGGTGGTGGTGTTGGTGGTGGTGGTGGTGGTGGTGGTGGTGATGATGATGATGATGATGATGATGATGATGATGATGCTCACCTCAGCATGTTTGTCGTACAATGATGACCATTCTTCATGTCCGCGCATTCTTCGCTATAATGTTGAGTTACAACGAACCGACAAATCAAACAACAAAGGGGATGCTGCAAGAATCAGCTTGGAGCGAGGAGAGATCAACGGAAAAACATGAATCATAGTGTTCAGAAATGGAAGAAGCCAAGAGCAGGAAGGCAAGTATGAGGAGAGGAAGAGAACAAGAGGAGAGGAAGAGAACAAGAGGAGAGGAAGAGAGGAGAGGAGGAGAACAAGAGGAGAGGAGGAGAAGAGGAGATGGGGGATATGGAGCAAGAGGAGAAGAGGGAGCAAGACGAAGGGAGGAGAACGAGAGGTGGACGGGAGGAGGACGAGAGGTCTGCTACTCGTTACCCGCGGGCTGTAGATAGAATCGCTCATGACTGGACGACTTGCCTTGAGCAGCCCAGCCTGAGGTCAGAAGTTCAGATGAGAAGATGTGAGAGGAAGGAGAACGCAGGAAAATAGGAGGGAGGAGGGAGGAGGGAGGAGGGAGGAGGGATAACAGGCGAAGGACAACGAAGAAGCAGGGAGTGCTGGGTAAGTAGGAGGTATCGGAAAGTAGGAGCAGGAGGAAGGAGGGAGAGAGAGAGCAAAGTGGAGAGCAGTGGACCTCTATCCGCATAGAGCTTGGGAGGAGGAAGGAGGAGCACTGAGAGGGGGAGAGGATCTGTAGCCCGGAATTGTTGTTGAAAGAGGAGAGAGCGAGAGAAAAGCAAAAGAAAACAGCCTGCAGAACGTTTCAGCTCTCCTGCCTCTTGCCTCCTCCTGCTTCCTGCTTCCTGTCTCCTCCCCCTCTCCCTCCTCCTTTCACTCTCCTCCTCGTTAAAACACTCCCAACAATCCATCCTCCTCCTACAATACCACCCTAGCTCCTTCCCTCCCCATCCTCCCTTTCTTCCCCCTTCCACACCCCCTCGCCTTGCTCCTCACCTCGACGTACTCAGGACGCCCAGCTCTCCCAAGGAACGCACTGAGGACGTTGACGTGACTCTCTCCTCCCTCCAGCCATCATGTTACCTTCTCTCCTCTCCCCACATCCTCCTGCTCCTCTGCAGCCGGAACGCGATCCCCCGCTGGTTCGACAGAACCTTCGACATCTTCGTCGTTGAGAACCAAAGAGGCATGCTGCAATCCAACATACGTCATCTCCTCCCACTGCTACACCTGCTGCTGCTGCTGCTGCTGCTGCTCATCTGTGTCTCTCACCTCCTCCACTTCCTTTCAGCTCGTCGGAAAATCTTCTGAAAACTGTCGACATGCTGTAGCATCTTAACAGGCTGGTCGCGTTCGCTCGTGACGTTGGAGCTCAAACTTGTCCCGTTGACTTCACTCAGATTTCTCTTCTGAAAATGCTCGATGATCGCAGACGCCTGAAGCTCGTCGACCCCCTGGCAGGGCTGCCACGTCAGCACCAGAGCCGAGCCCTCCACATCCAATACAACACAGCTTCGCCCTCCCTCCTTGACCCATCGGTCAGTCACCGTCCCTTCTGTCTTTCTCACTTTCATCTTCATCATGCCTCGCAGCTCTTCTCTCCCCCGTCTCCTCGTCTCCTCGTCTCCTCGTCTCCTCCGCTCCTCGTCTCCTCCGCTCCTCGTCTCCTCCGCTCCTCCTTCCCCCTTCACCTCGACAGCTGCTATGTCTCCTTCTTCCGCTGTCCCAAGCGCCTCGATGGACCCGAACTTCTCAATCAGCTTCTTCCTCGTCTTCCTCTCAATCCCTGCGTAATCAGAATCATCTTGAAGAAATATCCATGCCGCTCCTCCGCTTCCTTCCCCTCCTCCCCCTCCTCCCTCCTTCCCCTCCTCTCCTTCCCCTTTTCCTGTTGTGCTGCTGCTGCTGCTGCTGCTGCTGCTGCTGCTGCTGCTGCTGCTGCTGCACATTCTCCTCCTCCTCCTTCCATCCTTTAGCCTCCTCTCTGAGCCCATTTTGGGTTGTCTCACCTGGGATCGCATCAAAAACGCTCCGAAGGTATTCGGAGCTCCGAAGGGAGCGATGGTGATAGACAGCAAAGGCATGGGCCTCGTCTCGACACTTCCTGCGACTTGGCATTACAAACGAGAGGAAGAAGCAAGTCTGACAAGAAGAGTGAGGTTGCAAGGTGTACGCCGAGAGCTGTGGAGACAAGATTCGATGACATCGTGAAGACAACAGCAATGGCGGTACAAGTACGCAGAGGTGGCCAGTCATGTGGGGCAACTCCAGTAGTGGGGCATGCGTAAACTTGCCTCAACAGCAACATGGCAGCTGAAAAGATCCCTCCCTGCTCGCAGCGTCACCTCAGCTCAGGTCCAGCTCTCCTCACCTCAAAGTGCAGGGGTCGAGGATTGTCGGGGACATACACCTCCTCTCGCTGCTTCGCCAAGGACAGGAACGTCACTCTCTTCAGGATCTCCTCGCACCTCCCCGGGTCCGTCGAGTTTCGAATCGCCGCCATGACCGCCGCGAGCTATCAGGACATGAGCAGCAGCAACGCCACCTCCAGCTCGTCTACCTGCCCTCTCCCTCCGTCGATCAAGACGACGTCGGGGAGCGGGCTCGAAGGGATCGAGGAGTAGCTGCAATTCTCCCCTTTCTCTTCCCTCCCTTGCCTCTCATTCAGACCGAACCGTCTTATGATCGCCTCAGCAAGAGAAGCAAAGTCATCTGAATGGCCCGTTCGCACGTTGGCGCTTTCGATCCTAATCCACCTGTTGCCATTTTCAACATTTTTCCACCGCTCGTCTCTCAGTTTTCAGGAAACATTGATAATCACATCTCGTTATCTTCAAACACAACAAACATGTCGAGATCACCTCGAACGCAATCACCAACTTTACAAGGGGAACAGACATCTGCCGTTGTTTCAGTCCTCACCTGTAATATCTCGGAACGGGAAACCCATCGAGCAACATCGAGGAGGAAGCGATAGTTCCATACCCCTACCAAATCGCAGTCTCAGCCTTTCTCTTCATCTCTCTCCACCCACTTCCCGTCCTTCTTCCTTCTCCCCTTGCTCACCATCTGACTCATGACCCCTTACCGGTATCCTCTCCCCTCCTCTCCTCTCCTCTCCTCTCCCCTCCTCTCTTCTCCTCTCCTCTCCTCTCCTTCTTCTCCATCATTCCACTCTGCTCCCTTACCTGTATATGGCTGATATCATACCCCTCAATGATCCTCGGGGTCTTCTCCATCTTGAGCGTCGCACTCAGCTCTGCCAGCCCATCTATGATCGTTGCTATCAAACAAACTTCAGCTCTCTGCCATCCTCCCTCCTCTCCTCCTGCCTGATTTCTGCAATCCGTTCCCGAGCGCGGCGGCTTGTTCAGAGAAGAGTCGCAGCGCGCTGGTCGAGTTCTTCTCATGCACGAGCTCCAGCAGTTCCCGGATGGCGTTCTGTGACATGTCAGACTCTGTTGGCTCGCAGTGCACAGGAGATCACGGGAGAAGAGTTGCTGTCTGGGAGAGAGGACTTTTTAGAGACATCCATCGAATCGCTGGACTCGTCGTCAGCGGAAAGGTTGCTTCCCTTGCTAGTTCTTACCTCAGTATGGCCTCTGCGACTGCCATGGCCTCCTCAGAGGCTCTCAGTCCCCTTCCTCCTCTCCGCGTCTCATTCTTCAGAGCGATCTCCCACAAGCAGCACATGTTGATGAACTTTCTCAACCTGCGGGGTCATGGCGTCACCCCATACGAACAGGCGGGCCCGTCGAGCTTCCTGATGCAAATCTTGTTGGCGAACGATCGAGAGGCAAAGGGACCGTAGAGACGATCGACTTTCAGCCAGTCTGAGCAGCAGAACGAGATCAGGACAGGCACCAACAACAGGAGGAGGAGAAGAGGAACGAGCAGAGCAAGATGTCAGAAGCAGCAGCGCTGGAGGCGATGGATACGTCGCCTATCACCCCCTCACCTGACTTTGGAGCGCTCGATTGCAATCGAGGGAAGAAGCAGTTCCCCGAGAGGAGAGGAAATCGAAGGGGGAGGGAGGAACAGCTCAGATGCTCCGCGACTGTCAGGTTTCAGAAGAGGACAAGGGCAAGCTCTCGTTCACCCTCAGCCCCAGGGACGACGAGCTCTGACTTGCGTCTCTCCACCATCAGGTGCGGCGACGGCTGGCTCCATGCAAAGTTGATGAACCTGAGGAAGACATTGAATACAGCACATGACTGCGTCTGACGAACTGAAATTTATCCTTTCCCCCTCCCCCCCCTCCTCCGCCCTTCCCCTTCCTTATCCCCGCTTGCTATCCCCTCCCACACCCTCCTCACTTCTCCCTCCTCTTCTCCCTCCCTCACCATGGATGATGATGTGACCCTTTGCTGATGTTTCTTTCACCTTCCTTCAACCTCTTTCTTGACAGGCAAAGAAACGCCTGGGTTCTGAGGCAATCATTACCACCAACACCAGTGCATTCCCTATATGTCTTGCTTACAAGGTCGTGAACATAAAAGATGCGCTTCTTCTGTACAGCCGAACTAGCCGCATGTCTTCGTCTGCACTTTGCGGCGAACGCTTTTGGCTTGAGAGCTTTTCCTGTGCATCGGGATATCAGATACTGCGCAGTAAAGAAATTCATCGAAGGATGACGAATAACAGGAAGAGAAGTATCGTAACACAGAACTATGAAACACAACAAGTGAAGACCTTTCTTGATCTGTTTCTTGTCCTCAATCCATCAGTGCTCGTCGGGAGATGTAGTTGGCCATCTCCCCCTCCTCCCCCTCCTTCGTCGCCAAGTCTTCTTCTCCTCCCTCGTCCTCGTCGTTCGCTCCTTTGCCCTCGTTGGTTGCTTCCCTTCTCTCCTCCTCCTTCTCCTCCTCCTCCCTCCAAACATCGCGCGCCTTGCTCCCCGAACATAGATCCTTGGAGGAACCTACAAACATGCCACCCACCCCACTTCATTCCATAGAATGGTGTGGTGAAAGTACCCCTCCCTGAGACCCTACATGCATGAGAAATGAGATCCGTCCGACTGATGGAATGCACGTGAAGTTTTGAGAGGGGAAGGGGGAGGAGGAGGAGGAGGAGGAGGAGTAAGAAGGACTAGGAGGACACGCCAAGAAGAGGAGTTGGAGGAGGACAAGGGAGGAAGAGGGGTTAGAGGGAGGTGGTTGTAGAAGGAGGGAGAAGGGTTGAGTGTGGATCGAGTAGCGAAAGGAGAGGAGAGAGGTTGAACACAACGAAAGGGAGGGAGAGAGGGGGAGAGAAACAGGGATGACGCATGCGACTCGGAGCAAGAAGTCACAGCAGCCATCTCATGCCGGCACAACACTGCGCGAGACGAAGAGGAGAAGACATACGGTCAAGCAGGAGGGGCAGGGGGAACAGGGGGAGAGGGAGCGCGGGTTCAGATCATGGCTGAACAAGGAAGGGTTTGTCCTCCATGACTCCCTCGATCTGAGATTCTCCGGCAAGCTGATCGCTCTCTTGCTCCCTCTCCTCTTCCTTGACTGCTGAGGGCCGCAGGATCGCTTAATGGTGGAGGAGTCTTCGCCAGCAAGGCTCTGAGGAGAGGAGAGGTGCTGTGCACATGGCATGACGCGTCTCGCGGTGCGATGATGCTAGAACAGACAGCCGTCCTGATCCCCAAGAGAAGCTGCATCACCTGGATGACCTCCGGACTGCGAACACACCTGGAATCCATCTGTAACGGTCTATCCTCCTCCTCACTCCTCCTCACTCCTCCTCACTCCTCCTCACTCCTCCTCTTCCTCACTCCTCCCCTCACCCCCCCCCTCCGGCCTCTTCCTCCTCCTCGTCCCTCCTTCTGATCCTCCTCCTCCCTCTCCTCCTCCTCTTTCTCCCCCCACCACGTTCTCGTTCATGTTCTTGTCTTCATACCCCATAATATCCATATAAAACTTCTCATCCCCTCCCCATTCTTCAGTCTTCCGCTTCTCCTGCTTCCTTCCACTCCTCCCCGCTCCCACTCTCCCACATTCCTGATCCTCTTCCCCAGACGTTACCGAGAGGACGATCAAGACGTTCTTCGCTGCACCTGCGTCTGTCAAGTTGACTTGCTGCCTCCTGTTTGAGATGTCCTTGCAAGAAAGGTTCCTCCTGAGAGGGGGAGGGGAAGGGGGAGGGGGGGGGGAGGAAAGATGCAGGGGGGGAGTCGTGGGGAGGAGTCGTGGGGGAGGAGGGGGAAATGGGGAAGGGGGGACCTCATGTCGTGCAGATTTCGAATC